GTGGCTAACCTGACTGGCATAGCCTGTCAGCAAAAAAAAAAAAAAAAAAAAAAAAAAAAAAAACCCCNTCTCTCTCTCTCTCTCTCTCTCTCTCTCTCTCTCTCTCTTTCTCTCTCTCTTTCTCCGCAGGCGCGAAAATAACCGCGGTTGCACAGAATATACAGTCGACGATTTCTTCGAGTCGCGAATTCCTCGAGTCGCGGCACGTGCCACGATTTTTGTTTCCCTCCAGGCAGACTCTGGATCAAGTACTCTAGCCACTAGAGTGTCTTGCGAGCCAAAACGACCATTTGTTCCATTAAAAGGGAACGTTGAAAACTTGGCGTCTTGCAGGGCACGTTCAATTTAAAAAAAAAAAAAGAAAAGAAAAGAAAAGAATTTTATTGCAATATATTAAAAGACGACGAAAGACAGGTTAACACACTTTTTCGAGAATTCTTTTAACGACGAGTTAACGACGAATGGGCATTGGTCAAGGGGCGCGGGAGATTCAAGGTTTCGAGCACACGAGGGGGCAACACGGATCGCAGAACACACGGTCGATAGGTTTGTCAACCTCGCTCGGTGGAAGCGGTCGTCAGACTAAAGTCGTCGTTCCACTGGAAACCGAGTACGTGCATGGCTTTCTTATCCCTCCTGTTCGCTCGAAATCCGTTGCTTCTCTCTCTCGTGCATCGCTGGCTCGATCAGGTTGTCCCTGTTGTGCCGAGCAGGGTCTCTCTCGCTGGTTCTCTCCCTCTCTACGCGGACTCTGTCACCCGGTCCAGAATTGGAGGGGAGGCCGAGTCCAAGGATACGGTGGACAACCGGGGAAAATGATTTGGCCTCCGCATTGGAAAACCCGGGGTTTCGACGTCGATCGGGACCTCGTCTGTGGAAATCGAGGAAATTGGAAGGTGTTTCTCGACCATCGTCGCAAATTGGAATTTCTTACGGTATCCTTCAGATTGTAGGTTGTCTCCAAGCGTGGAAATGAGTTAACTATGCTATACTTTTCCTGGGTGATGCGCGAGCAAGTTTGGGGGTTGGAAAAATTGGGAGAATTTTAGGAATTTTTCGTCGCACTTTCCAGAATAATTGCGAAATTAACAGTGAGATTTATTTTTCACGGGTATGGAAAACTATAAAAAGAAGTTGAGGATATATATATATTTCTAACACCACGACTCGCTAGAACATTAATAACCTTGGAATAAAAAGAGAATTGTATCTGCATAGTTTAAAGTGGAAAGTAATTATCGATCGAGATCGAACTCGCGGAAGGAAGAGAAATTGCCAGCGCGTAAAAATAAATTTGAAATTCTCAAGCCAATAGCATCAATAAATCATCGGAATTTTCACCGTGACAATGTTGCCAAAAATCGTTAATTAATTTGTCACCCGCTAACCACAGGCTTTCGAAGCGTAACGAGGTGAAAGAAGAGAAAGGAGAGATTTAACAGATCGACAATATCGCGCTTGTAACACCCTGTAATTTGTACATACAGTGGGAATTTTTCACACGTAAGAAACAAAACCTGTTCAGAAATTTGTTTCGCCAACAAATACTGTTTCTCCGAGTATTTTGTATATTTTCCTATTTCCTAAAAAAAGTATTTAAAATTTATTATTATTATTAGCATTCAAGTGAAATGACAGTATTCTGAAAATTGTGAGAGAGAAGAAAAGTGTGTCGTGAAATTAGGATTATTAATTTTTAATTTTCCATAAACGAACGCAGAAATCTGCAGTCCAGTTTCCACGAGTGTTCAAATTACGTTTACGAGTGTTGCCGCTGTACATTAAAAGAAACGTTTATCAAAAATGATTTTACTGTAATTTTAGTCGAAAAACTTTCAACAGGGAGCTACCTTGAACGATCGAGAGCAATCGAGACACGGATTAATCATCTCTGAAATGTGTTAACGAAATCGTCAATTACAGTTGCGCGGTGGGCGTGGTACAGTTGTCTCGGTGATGTTTTTATCTCGCGCGTGAAACGACAGACGTGGCGATTCGAACCTCTTTTTGAACCTTGAAAGTAAAAGTTCCGTCTAACCTGAACCCACGAAGGACCAACGATGCCATTTACGGGTTTAATATCGTTTCAGTTCTCCCGTTCCACGAACGCACGTTGATGATTGATTGATCGAGAGACAATGGCTTTGGAGAGAAAAAATTCGATTGCGCGGCATTGAGACAGCGGGTTGGAATTCATACTTTTTCCCTCCCGAGTCGTGCGAGTGCGAAAAACAGAATAGGCGTAGAAGGCGGAGAGAAAGAGAGTGCTAACAAACGAGAGGGCCCAGAGATCAGCTGAGAAAAGTGCGAAGGGAAAAGTGAGCTGGATGGCCTTCGCGACAATTCGCTCGTTACCTCTTGTGTTTCGATTCGTGCCGCCGCTCGAATTTACCTCCACCAGCGAAACCGGCGCGGCTTTCCGTCAATTCTGACCGATCGATTTGAAAGCTATCGCCTTCTGACCATTTTTGGTCAAAGTTCAATCGTTCATAACTGAATCTGAAGGGATTTTTGTACGTATGAGTGGGGGGGGAGGGGGAGGGAGAGGAACTTTGGGTAAATTTGGGTAAAAGAACATACAGGATGTATAAAATACAGTACTCGTAGAGATTTCTTTCCTGGTTTTCGTTTTTCTAAATAGTGACTGTAAAATTTTGAATTTACACTATTAATTATTATATTACACGAACATCCACCGACATGTGTATAATAATTTCAACACATTGGGAATTTATGGATATACACATGTACCATTTCTTCGACATTTTAACGAGAAATATTAACAGTGATAATAATTATTTTAACATCCAATCACTGGAGATTCTATTTCTTATCGATGTTATCTAGAAAACTTTCTAATCTATCCTAATCTTAGAGTCTTTATTAATCGTCCTTCTTATCTAATCATTAAACAAATAATTTATATTCATCGATGGACGTAAAACTTAACTTGTTTTGATGAAATACAACCGATTAAAGGTCAATGGAAGGAGAACTGGTTGATATTTTTTTTTTTTTTTACTACTGAGTGCAGTAATTACCATAAGTCTTCGCGCGATAATAAAATTTATGAATTCCCGAGGAAGTGAAAGGTTTTACAGGAATAGACACCGAATTCTTTTGTAATTGGTCAGAGATGCATCTGTGCATCGGACGGCAACGAAGTCAGCAACGAAATGGCCACAAGGGAAGACGAACGTAACGTTGTAATCGATTTTTATTCACGATCGATCTAAATTACAACTTTTCATTATTTCTAAAAAAAAAAAAAAAAAAAAAAAAATCCCCTGTCAGAAGACGCTATCTCGATAAATTCAGCCGTTTAGAAGGCTGCTTAGTGGACTACATTCATCAACGAAACAGAGTTAATCCCTCCGAGGAAATGCCAAGCGAGATTAGCTTTCGTCTTTCATTAATCTTTTCAATCGCAAATTTCTACAAATTGCTACATTGCGATACCAAAAACGAGGCGAGGATAAATAGATATATATGATATCGATTTGTGATTGATTTCCAGATCCATATGGATAATTGTATGTTTAGCTGTGAGAGTGGTGGAAATTTTTACACGAATGAACGAGATAACGACAATTGAATATTATCAGTACGTAGCTGGTGTAGAAATACACTATACATTTATAGTGTATTTTATTAGAAAATTCAAGGGAGGGAAAAATAAATCAACTACACGTCAAATTTATTGACAATTTTCATCAAAACTATTCGCGACTACATAAGTAAGAATTATTATACGTATTTAGTGCAGCTACAATACTTGGATACTCAAGATCTTGACATCAGTTCTAAATAACAGACTGCTTCAGGAGCAACTTGAAAATTCCTGGAAGTTTTTATTGCAGCCATTTAAAGGAACGTCACAACGAAAATTACACGGATCGATTCAAATCCATTATTTAAATCAAAATTTCTCAATTATTTCCATCACTATATAGGGTAACCTAATGGCTATACCAATATCGAAGTGTCTAATGGAATCTCTCGTACAAATTACTATGATATATATACATTGATGACTTGCGTCTCTATAAACATCGTTGTGCTGCATAGCTCAGGTGTTCACAATTGTGGCAATCACCGTTGAAACATAAAACATTATTTTTCGAAAGCCTTTTTCGTTTAAGTAACAGGTGCGCTGGACGTAAGAATGTGTTCTGAATGTTATTTAATTCTGACTAACGTACGAAGGAATCCTGGTAATTAGCAGACTGCGGATTTTTATGTATTCGCCAAGTTCGAAATTAAATAAAATAGATCCAGAACAAGTCATGCATCGTGATATTCAATGGATGAAACAAATTTCTATTTAGCAATGGAAAAATGTGAATAAACGTACGTAGTCTAACAATAACATTTCATTCAAGTTCATTCAAATATGAAAAAATAAAATAAAATGAATTAACATAATAAGATAAATAAAATATAATAAAAGCTAGTAATAATAATATTTAGCAACTTTTCTTTCCAGGAGAAAAAATATACTCCCACTCAAAATTTTAGAGCACGTTGAAACTTCTTTTTCAAATAAATAAACATTTTATTCATAGTCTCATCTTTTCATAGTACTGAAGTTTTAATTAACTATATTTACCAATATATATATATTATATTAAACTATATTTATCAAATTGTAATTAGAATATTGTTATTCATCAAAAGGAAACGTTGAAACTTCTTTTTCAAATAAATAAACATTTTATTTTTAGTCTCATCTTTTCACAATACTGAAGTTTTAATTAACTATATTTACCAATATATATATATATACTATATTTAACAATATTTATCAAATTATAATTAAAATATTGTTATTAATCAGAAGAAAAACGTATACAGAAGCTTGTCTCGTCCAAAATGGAAAAGGATGCTCCAAACTCCAAGTGAGAGAATATGTTGTACTACGAATCTGGCCCACTATAGATCAAAGTGTAAAACTTGGCTCGTTGGAAAGTCAACGAAAATCAAATGAAAAATCGACGAACCTGTGGTGTCCCGCGCGAGCCTCGATCCTTCAGGATCCACTAGGGTTCTCTCAGCTGTTGTTCTCTCTGGAACGAGCTATCTGCCCCTGGAAGCACGCAGGATCTCGCGCATGTTACCGCACAGGGCTTCCTCACAACGTGCACGAGTCATTCTGTCCGAACAGCCGCGAGTTCCTCATCCTCGCGATCGATCCGCGAAACACCATCGGAGAAAAACCACCTCGGTGATCTCGTGCCTGGATGTTATTATCTTCTCTATCCACCTGACGTCTCGTCACGAGTAAACACTTTCTCCCTCTTCTCTCTCTCTCTCTCTCTCTCTCTCTCTCTCTCTCTCTCTTTCTCTCTCTCTTTCTCCGCAGGCGCGAAAATAACCGCGGTTNTTTTTATTTTTTTAAAAAAAAAAAAAAAAAAAAAGAAATTGTCAAAGACGATCTATTTTACAATTTCAATGGAGAAATTCTAAGCTCGATGATCGATGAATATCAAAGATCAATGAATATTAGCGATAGCTCGAACAATACGACAATTTGTGTCTAACGCAAGAAGGAACAATTCCTGCAAAAATAGATTGATTCTCTTCACGCAGAGAGCAAAATCCAATTACGATCTTATCTCAAGCCTTTATCCTTCTGCATAACGCAAAGTCCAATTAATCGACTCGAACAAACTGCACAGCCCCATTTGGAGAATGCAGGTACAAAATTTCATTCCACAATTATCTCTCGTGAACGAGAAAAAGGAAACAGGAACAATTCCCGTAAATTACGGGGAAGGGGGAATAATAATTCATAATTACCCAAGTTGTAAAATCACTGTCCATTATTCCAGTATCAATCGTGCAATCCATTCCGCGAGCGTGTTATTTCCGATATTATTATTTCACCATGATTATCAATTTCCCTGGCGATCTGTCGACACCGTGATCAAGCCCAATTAAGACGACTGTAGCATAATTAAAATATCGAGTGGCCTGGCCGTTCTAATTATTACACACAAAGCCGATCCGAACTTAGCTAATGTCTCCCCCCCCGACGTAAAAAGAATTCGATCCCCGGTGGCTGCAGAAATCGCTGTTCTCGCATACAACGATCGTATTAATGCCGGCAGAGAAAGGCGGCCACCCACTGGCTTACACAACGTTTTGCTCCAGTTATTAGTGTACGACTCTTTTCGCGGATCGACCTGACGAACTGTGCCCCGACAGAATTAAATTGTTACTCAATGTACGTACAGCGGCTCTGTTATATTTTTCGTTGTGTGTAACGTATTACCTTGCCTGCGCCACTGCCTCATACGAAGAAATATATTCTCACACAAGGGAATAGAGAAGATTATCCCAACCTAACTGGGAATTGCGCCTAACTTTCCTCTTTCCAGAAAGCACACACTCAAAATTATAAAATATCATTGTAAAAAATAAACAGTTGATCAAAATCGTAGAGAAGATCTTTTTTTTTCTATTGCTTCAGCCTCAATCCGCTGGGATTCGTTTCCCCGAGCTGAAATCCCAAACCTCGTATGCAAATCCGAAAATTTAAAAAAAGTCGCGATCGGTCTCCTACGGAACAGAAACGTTTGCTCGTTCCCGGCAAATTAATTCCCGGTGGAACGGAACCGAACCACGGTTCGGTTTGAAAATTGCGAGCGCCAGTGGTAATTATGATCGGTTTTCTACGGGTCAGTATATTTGTAGTAACGCTGGCCGATAATAAAGTTGCGACAGAGTGTGGCGTTAATATTATGCAGGGACTATGGCTCGGCTGGTATTGTTGTGCCAGTCAGTTCTGGTAGCACGTAGATAGCCAGCTTGACAATGGCGGTCTCTGTTACGTGGCATTGTGAAATGATAACACTTTCATCAGCCACTATGACGATCATTAATCAATCCTCCGAATGACATTGATTTAATTTCACACGGTGCCAATGATTTAATTGAAACTAGAAATGTGCTCGTTTATTTGTCGTTTCCTCTTATCAATGAAAATTGAATTGACAATAATTGATAATAATATTATATGTCAGTAATTTTTTACTCCAGTCATTGTCTGGAATGGGGTACAAAATTAATCGCGGCATATTTTGATTCGTAAATTCTTGGAGAGAGACCTTTAATTACCTAAAATTTTGAAACAATGATACGCAGAGAGTGTTTCGATTCAATTAACCTATTTGTCAATGATCTTTCGGTATACAGATTATTATTATTTTCAAAAAATATAAATCAGTAGTGCGTATTTAAAAATCAGATTGATAGAACAACGCAGCTATTTCGGTTACGTAAATGCATTTTGCAATTTAGTTGGATATTAACATTAACATACGTACGATGAATTAAACGGCACTGTAAACTACGAAACGTTCAATTACGTCGGCCGCAAATACATTCGACGAAAATAACATTGAAAAATCACGAGATGTTACTTGAACGAAAGTGCACGCGAATCGTTGAGCAGCTAGCCTTTGATAATTATCGAACTGAAACACTTCCGTCAAGAAAAATCTTCTAAATGTCGTTGGTCACTCTCTCCCATTTTTATCGCAGCGTTATCGCATCAGCGAACCAATCGATTTTCGTCAAGGCAAACTCATAATTAGCCAGACATCTACGTGCGCAAGATGAAGATATTGATGCTTGAAAGAAAAGGAATATCACATTCGATAATGAAGTTCAATCGCTGGGTCTGTAAAAGTAAATCGAAATTCCTTCCACTTCGAAATCGGCAAATGCCAAAATTCGAGAGCCTATCCTCTCAGGCGTAATCGACAAATACGAAACAATCTGCACCCTGGCGAAAAGCAATGGCGCACGTGTGGCCTTAGCAGTGTCGAGCAATTTACCAGTCGTATTCCAAAGGAAAAGCCTTGCAAATGTCCCTTGCTCTTTTCTAATTATATTAGCATATCTAGGTGAACCGTGGCTCTCTCGCGAGTGATTGTACAGATACGCGATACCAGAGGCCATTTCCTTTTATCGTTCCTCGTAGACAAGAGCGACAAACGTCGCGTAACTGCCACGCGGATATGCGACTGTCGTAAGAGGCTCTCCCACTCGTTTCACGCCGCGTATTACTTCGCCACTGTTTTCTACAGATATACCCAGCGGATCTTGTTCCTATTTTGCAAGCCGCCTGTCGAGATCCGCGATCGATCGTTAGATCGTCGACCATGTTTGTCAGATTAATTCACTCGTGTTCCGGGAAAAGAGCGTCTCTCTGTCCGAGGGGAACGAGTTCTGACGACTTCATTTGTGCCTCGTTACTTTTATGAAATACGGAGATTTAACGAGAGGCGGCTAGTAATTCTTGGAATTAATTTATATGGAGAATTTATCAAGTGGTTTTCGAGGCGTAGATTCGACGAGATGACTCTTGATTACCTCGTGTTCATTCTTCTGCGGAATTTATCGTAGGATTTATAAAGCGTAGAGTCTCTTCTTCAGTGAACTACAGTGCTGAGTATTGCAATTTAGACAAATCGGATCGCTTCAATGAATGAAATAAATAAAACATACGCGCACCGTTTCCAAAAAGATTTTACTCCTCCATTTTTACTAATTACGCTTATACGCAGAGTTATCATCGATAACGATCTCCATCTATACAAACTCGTTTCTCAATCATTTAGAAATGGAAATCGAGGAAGAAGACTCGTTCAATTGCCGATAATGATCGTAAATCAGCAAACAAATTTGACAATTACTGAAACAGATCCACAGAGGGTTACCTAAGAGGCAGTTACCCAACGTGGCTCTCCTCTTCCTATACTTCTCTACTTCATACAAATCGCAGAAACGCGAACCCATTAATTTCCTCTGCTCGTAGTCGCGAACAGACCCGCGTGGAACGTAAATTTCCAGGCCGAGCAAACGGCATTAAATTCGCGATTTATCATCCTGAAATCGTATCCTTTCGCAAAAGACCGAGCCTGAAATTAATTTCACTCCCTGCGGGTTAATTAATCACGTTTCAATGTAACGCGTTATATCGCAAAAGGAAAAAAAAAAAGAATCGAAGCCTGCAACTGTGAAACTCCCCTAAAAGTTTCAATTTTTATGTAGGCACCAGCTATAATATAATATTCGAGATTGATTCTCCTAAAAAGCTCGTATAAAGAATTTTTGTTGCAATAATTTAGGAACGAGTGACATTTAGAATTGCAATAATTTAGATTTGTAGCCCAAGCAGTAATTTCAGAGCTAGTTAGTAAGATACTAAAAAATACGTTCGCCAAAATGTTGAGACATTTCAAAGTGGGGGGAAAAAAGGAAAGAAAAGAGAGTAACGACGCGAAAGTACCGAGAAACCGTGACTTTTTGCCCTCGATGTGTTTTATTATGTAACTTGTCCTTTCGATCTACCCAAGAACCTTTTATTTCTCCTGCGCCTCCGACATCTGGCAAGCAGATCGGTCGTGGATCCTCTTTCTAAGCTGCGGGTTAATTGAAAGATCGCGTATCTGATCGCTTGGACACGCGACGCAATACGAGAGATGGATTAAGCGATTAACTTGATAGTTTTCACCGTTTCAGAGATTTTTCCCTATAAAACGTACATATGGAATGTAATGAGATTTTATCGATCGTTTTTTACGTTATAGTTTCAAGCTTTGAATTACTTTTTCAACAATGAAACTATAATTCTAGTTCATGAAGCGACGAGCAACAAAGCTACAAATTAGTTTCGTAAATTTGAAAATTCAGATAGGTGAAAACGTATTGAAAAAAAGTATTGGGCAAACGTTTGGAATTCTATTTCATAGCCAATAGTGATAAGAAACAAAATTTGAGACATTCCTAACGTTGGTTTCTAACGGATTAAGAATTACACACGTGTCTCCTAAAAACATTTTTCCAAAAAAGGAAAGTAAGATTCGAAAAATTTTTTCTGAGGCCTTAATTATTAAATGAAACAGCAAGGACTTGGCCTGAGGGATGACCATATTGGGTCACACAGATCATGCAATCTAGAGCACCCACGCCATGTTTCATAATTCTAGATCATTGTTATCAATTAATCAATACGTTTGACAATCCTGCTTGACCCCTGTGGTGAACGAAATCTGAGAGGAAAGGAATATCTAGGTAGATATTCTTCTTTCAGATAATAGATCTCGTTTCTTAACTATATCCAAATAATAAATGATTGTGCACAATAGAATTGTTGAGATAACTAGCCATAATAATAGCAATATAATAATTAATCGTACTAATTTTAAGAATTGAGATGATAAAGATAGAAATTTCAAGCAATGATATGAAATAATACGAGAGAGTAATCTATCACCCCAAACGTCATATAAACTGAATGTAAAAATGTATCGAAAAAAAGAAAAAAAATTATCTCGCAATCATTCTAAAAGGATGGTAGGCAGATCTAGGTTAACGATATTCGTTTTTGCCGGCCAAGATCAATTTTCTGAATATTCTGGATTCCTGTGTCCGCACTAAATATACCAGAACAAAAAGGTCAGAGAATTTCCACCAATTGTGGATCATTATTTCTCAAGTACCGATAATAGTCTCATAATTTAACATCGAACTACCGCGTGTTACCCCTAGTGCCTGTATTACAAAAGCACAGTCATTTTTATTAGCCTGTTCCGAGCGAATTGACGAAAAAAAAAGAAGAAAGAAAGACAGAACGAAATTCTTCGCTACCATTAGAGAGAATATATTTATAATCAACGATTTCACGAAGGACCGTTCTCAGGACTTTTACTCCGGGTTTCCTTTCGTCGGTAGCACGGCAACAAAACGCTCTAGTTTCGATAAAGGGGCGTTGGGCAACCGATAATGACCGCGACCGAGTTAGTATAGCATAGCTACCTGAGAACAATCGTATGCGTGCAATTTTCTGTTGTCTCACAACCCGAACAACAAATCTCCGCGAACGACCCATTGATCTGGTATGGAAATTGTTTAAGCGACTGGTTGCATAAATTTCATTTTTTATTAAAAAAAAAAAAAACGATTGTTCGAAGTCGGAAACAGCTGATGTATTTAATGTGACTCGGCTAATAAAGATCAGGAGAAATGGTTGTAGAAAAAGGAATGATTGAGAATTGGAAAACTGGAATCTCAAATGGAAATGTGGAAACTCAAATTTTGAGGAAACCAATATGGAACAAGATCTACATTTTCAACAATGGCAAAGTAGAAAATATTTATTAAAAATATATAATACAGAAGATACAGCTGATTTATTTTTAACATAATTTTGTGTACTTCACAAGAAACTTAATGTATTTAAACCTTAAACATAGCTCTGAATCTATTTTGCAATGTTCTTTATATTCCATGAAAAATACTTTCACATATATTTTTAATATTTTATTTCTTTGAATTTATCTTACCTATCTTTCACATCAATAATAACCTGTGAAATTAATAATATTGGGTCTTATGTATATATTATGTATTCATCAATAGAACTAAAGCTAAACTGTGTTGGATGTTTTACACTCACTTTCCCTGGAGATTTATATGTAAGAATAAATTCCAGTGCATCATTTATTTTTGACAATCCAACAGTTAATGCACTTGTTGGTGTAATTAGACCCTCTTCCAGAAATTGTAAAACATCATCCCCTGCTTGTCTAATTGAAGGAATATGATATTAAAATAATCACTAAACCTTAAAACAATTTAAACCTAACTATTAAATTGCCCTATAAATTTTGCTCACAATTTATTATTCAATTCATCACAATTTATAATTCATAATAGTAACATTTTTAATCATAACTCAGTATATCAAAAAAAAAAAAAAAAAAACAAAATTTATAAGACATTTTAGTTTTAAAACTATTATACCGATATAACTCTGGCTTCTTCTTCTTATATTCTTTCAAATTAAATCCACTAATAGTAAAGACATCCTTTGGTATGTCAGAGTCAGTACTTTTTAGAGTTACTGCTGAACCAGCAATTATTACTCTCCCTTTAGAATAAAGAGTAATGTGTAATAAATTATACTATTTAATTTAAAGTAATTGCTAGTACCTAAAACACTTATGTACCTTCACGAGACAAATGATGTAACACAACTGCAAAATTATCATCATTCAACAGATCTTTTATGCTTATTTCATCTTTGTAAATACTAGTAAAACTAGAAGTATAACACCACTATCACTGATTTTTTTTTAACTCGACTAAAAGATTTCACAGTCAATTGTTTTTGAACTTACCAATTCAAGACTTTTTTGAAATATTTACCATCATCATCATCAAAGATTTCTTTAATATCTTTCTCTGCAGCTACCTTTTCAATTTGTTTCAACAATGTTTTATCTTTATATTTGAAAGATGCGAGTACACCTTTGTCTCTAGCAAGAGCTGCACCATCTTCCGTAGCAGAAACACTAATTACCTGAATTAATAATTGTCACGGACAACTTCTAACATTTAACAAACATTATTATCAATATTAATTTTTGTAGAATCTAACCTCAGCTTTAAATACATTTGTAGCAAGATCAACAGCAGCTAAACCAATACTACTCACACCCACATTAATTAACATGATATCTTCTTCTTGAATGCTAACTTTGCTTTCTAATGCAATTAAAGCAGTAATATAATCATCAAGTAACCCTACTACATCGATGGATTGTACTTCGGATGGTACTTTCCAGATATCCTACAAATCTTTCTTACAGTGGAATGTAAATATAATTAAATGGCCCAAATAAACTTGCTTACATTAACTTCTGCTACACACTGTTCTGCTAAACCTCCATAACGCTCTTTGTTAAGGGCAACAATTTTATCCCCAACTTTATACCCTTGTTTTTCTGCTTCCTCCCCAACTTGAACTAATTTTCCAACAAGTTCATAACCAAGAACCACTGGTAAAGTTGGTTCGAATGTATACATATTTTTTGACAATAATGCATCTGATGCATTGAGAGCACAATAACGAACATCTACAAGAACCTGCCAATATAAAGTTGTTATAAGCTTTGCCTTTTAACAATATTTCTCTTAACTTGTATTGATGAATTACTTGAAATTACTTGGAAATTATAATATATATTTTTTTTAATTTAACAATAATTACTAGAAATTTCAACATGTATTGAGTACCTAAGTTTAAAAAGTTGTATATTTGTCACATTATTATTATTAAAGACATTAAACTTACAAAATATTGCTGTAATCTTGTAAAATAGAAGTATAATTCCTATCTATAATATATATATTTTATAGGTAATAAATGTAATAAATTATAAGTGTAATAAATTATTTTCATTTAAAATACATACATAAATAATAAATTTCTTCTCATTAATTTTAAACCCAATGTCAACATTTTACAAATCACATCTTGTATTTCAAAATATTCAATTCAAATAGTAAAAAAGACAATTGAAAGTAATGTAAATAGAACACAAAAATATTTGTAACATCTTGAAATCGTTAATTTTTACGTAAGACTTACTTCATTAGCTTGTAATACTTTAGGAGGTTCAATACTTTCTAGAACGAAAGGATCGGAGAATTTCTTTAAAACAGCAGCAGAAATTTTGTTAGATTCGCAAGTTGACATGCTGCATTTTGCATTTTCTTCTAGGTTAAGGGATTTGTTACTCACGACAGAACTGAACCTAACAATTTTCGAACGCGTCGATAACTTTTTCAGATGATTACTACAAAAGTGCGCAAAAATTCTTTTTCCTGCCGCTACCGACATTTTCTATTTTTGAAAATTTAAATTATCAATCAAAACGCGGAAATAACACCCACACAGTATACATTCAGCGTACTCCATTAGACGAGCGTAAGCGCGCATGCGCGCCACCAGTTCAATTCGAATATGTATCAAAATTTAAACAACTATCGATTAGCGCACTGAAATCGAAATGGAGTGCTTCTGATTATCGAAATTTTAAAACGGCAGTTAAGCGTCGGTCGTCGCGATTTGAAACGTCGTTCCGCTCGGAGTGCTGTTTAATTGAAAAATTAACGCGGTAAAAGTGTTTAGTGTTCGTGAATTGTGTATGTGAATCGTGAAGCTATCACTCTGGATCATTATTCTACTGGTGCACGGCTTTCAATTGTTTCTGTACATCAATATTTGGAGAAAAAGTAAGTGATAGGAAAATCATGCCTGTATCACGTCGCCATTATTGAAATGTGAAATATTAGCGTACCTATGCTATCGAATTATTAGATTTTCTTTATCAATTTTATCGATTATATTATGCTGATTCAATATGTTTTATGTCGTGTGGATCACTGATAATCTTTTTGATTCAAGTTATTCGATATTTCAATGAAATATTTGTGAAATGCAGTCTGATATAATCTACCGATATACAGATATAATCTACGATATTTCGTAGATTAGGCCATTTTGCTTAAAAATAATTGTTTTTATAGTCATTATAGAATATAATTTATTTAACAAATGTAACGAATATCTTGGATAGACTACCTCTGACCCACATAATTTGGATGAAAAATAGTAAGATTGAAGACAACATGGCGTAGAATATGTTTACAAAATACTCTCTTTTTTTCATTTAAGTATATTCATGAATTTAGTGTATTCATTATTGGACTATAGATCTTTTGTATTCTATTTACAATAGTTTTTGTATATAAAAATGCATAAAATATTTGAAGTAAAATATTTGTTATGTTTATTATAAAAATATAAATTTACATAAAGATCCGTAGTCTGTATTTATAACAAAATACTTTTCAAAAATACTCAGATTCTATATCAGGTGATTTATAAGCTAATATAAAGATATAAGGTAATAGAAAGATATAAAACAATAGAGAAAATAATTAATAACTCACCTATCGCCAAATGTATGAAACATTCAAATCTTGACAAAATTTCCGAGGCTGTTAAAGATGTAAACTTCAGTGAAAATGTCGTAGAATCCATAGTCAAAAATTAAATTAAATTAAATTAAAATAAAATAGAAACAGTTATTAATAATCAAAAAATTGTATTTTTTATACAATTACATTTGTTTCTCTTTGTACTTCACAGAGGCATATAAAATTATAGTAACACAGAGAATAATTAAAATAACTAAATTGTTTCTGTTTCATAAATCATAGTAAATTTTTATATTCTTGTATGAATTAAAATTTAACAAATTTTTCGAATCAACTACAATTTAAAATTTATTAAAATTGACAAATAGAAAAATAACGAGAAAAGAAAGTGATAACTTTCGCAATATGACGCAACCTCGATGCACTCGAGTCTCAAAAAATTGCACAAAATTGTAAGGAATAAACAATATTAATATTTACGAGTGTAATTGTATTTATGAGCGTAGAAAAATAGTTAAATTATGTTGTTTGTTCACCGTACCTGATAAATCAGGTAGCACTTTACACGATACATTTATTTCATTGAATTTATTCACTGAAGTTAGCTATAATTTAATTAAGCGTAAATGAAAAGTTTGAACGCAACGCCGAACTTCAACAGGAAGTAACAGAGAATAGTCACGAAACTGTTACCCCAATGATGTTCAAAAGGGAAGTGATTTGTTCGATTTTTGTTTCTTCTGACAAAGTCGAGCCTCCCCACCAGGCTTCTAGCACATTTTGTTTATTTTTTCCTTTCGGGCATCCCCACTAGCTTGCCTATTTGTTGCTTTTATACTAGAAAATTTTTTCGCTGCATAGATTTTTGAAATATACCGGAAACTGCCGTGTCTCTACTATGTCTAATGCTAATTATTTTATAGAATTAAAAGATCTAGAAAAATTTGTTTTTTAATAGAGTATATTAACATTATTTTTTCTAAATTTAGATATTTAGGAAAGATTATTGTTTAATTCACTCTAAAATTATATTTTTATTAGTAGTAATAAGTATCTTTTTGGAATTCAAAGATACTTAAGAAGTTTCAAAAAATTATATCAGTCATCTTCAAGTAATATCTTTTAATTACTGCAATATAGTTACACATAAAAGAGGATAAAATGATAGAGTACAAAGCGTTTGAACTTTATTTATTGAGTTAATGGATCATTGAATTTTCTCTTTCTCTTGTTTTAATGATTGTTACATGATTATATCTTATAATAAAGATTTCGTAGTAATTCAATATGTATAAAGGGCTATGAGAATTAAGTACAATTATTTATGTATGCAATAAACAGAAAGTAGTGGTTGTAGAAGTTTCGCCTTACATCTTAATTTCAAAAATAAAACAAAACATAGATAAGCGTGTAACATGTCAGACAGCTAATGAAGTTGAATTTGCAAGAAAGTGAAATTAAATAAATAAAAAATAAGAGATACAAAATGATGGCCATTGAGGTTTCATTGACAGAAACGATGACATTGTAAATTTGATTAAATTTATTCATGACAAATATTAATTCATGCATTAAACAGTATGGCCAGCCGTACTCATTTTTATCACAAAAATGTTAGTTTCACTTAAAAACAAACATAATCATAGATACGCTAAGATTTTCATGATCAGATTAAGAAACAATAAGGCGATGACGAGTATGACTAGTATATGATTATAAAAAAATAGCGAACTTATTTAAACGCGTCAGGTTAATCCGACTAAGAACTAAATTAAAGTTAGATTATACTTAAGCAGCACGGATCTCACTTACTGTCCTAGCTAAGTGGACTGAAATAAAAGCAACTGAAAAGAAGCGAATACATTTAACATAATACAAGTCACAATGCATATTCTAGCCTTGGTAGAAAAATCCCTTAGAAAACATTTAGAATGTTTATCCATAAACGCAATTGTAATCATGTCGAATTCACAACAACGATTTATATAATATTGAATTCAACATACCTAATGACTCTTCGTCTTGTAGAAACTAATCTCGGTATAAAAACATCTCTTAAGTTAAGGGCATACGCAATGCAAATGGTACAAAGCATCATTTAAATACAATAACTTATAAAGATATTTGACAATTAGTTTACTTTCAATGAAAGAAAGCTAGACATTCTGCGTATTTGACGAACAGAATGGTAAATACATAAATTAATCTTAGACGCCGAATAAGTACAACGAGCAATAAATATTAAATTAAAAACACTGAAAATGAAAGACGAAAAGTGCCATTGCGTTTGCCATTTATACAAATCGCTATTTCTCCGCAATCTAATGATATCACTTTGATTAGAACCTTGGTACCAATCATTTTTTTCAATTAAAAAATCTACCTACATTATTACAATAAACAATATACGAACACTTTTGTTCCCCTTCTCAATAAAAGTCGTTCAAGGATCTAAGCATTTCTTTTCGGTAGCATAGCTGTAATATAAGAACACATACGTTGACATAATTCGTCTATAAACTTCTTTTTTTTTTCTTCGTTTTTTCTTTTTTCAATTTTTATTCTAAACATATCAAACAGTATACTGTGCATTCACGTTCATAATACTGTGAATGAGTTCCATCTTACATCCTACGCAGAATATTGAGATATTACTGCACTGATATTCTATGTACTCATTGTTGCTGTTAGGTGTACAAGTTTCTCTTTAGTACAAAAGTTCGATTACAAACATTAGAAAAAACTATTGTTACTCTTTCGTTCTTTCTTTTCCTTTTTCACCCCTTTGCTCGCTTAGAAACTGAAGTCTTAATCTATGCTTTCTGGAATGCTGTTTGAATAATACTTCTAATTTAACACTGATGTATATCAAAACGTCACACGTTTGGATTATTATTCGTACGATCGGCGAAAATTTCTTCGTTTTTGTTATTGTGCAAAAATTCAGTTCGATGATAGAAATCAGAGGAAGATGCAACGTGATTTGCTTTTTTTTTTCTTTCCTTTTTTTTTGAAACCGTTGATTGAAACTGTTAAAAATTATTTCGCAAATTATTACTATGTATTGTGCCAATTTTACAATTATTAAATATCAATAAACTCACTCATAAATTAAAATTTTTTCCCTATGAAACTCTCGTTAAGTTAATAATAACTACTTTTAGCTCTCGAAATTCGTATAAGAATTGTTAAAAAATGTACTATACTTTCATCATTATTATATAAAAACTACTCAAGTTATAACAAAAGGAATTATATCTATGAGTAAAAATGTTACGATCAATATACCTGTTGTAATTACGTATTTTTTTTTTTCTTTTTCATTTTTTAATATTATAGAAATAAGAGTTTCATAAAAATCCTCTGAATCGATTCTGGGATTGAACTATTATTTAGTGATTTATAAATATTCTGCAAGCCTTACACATATAAAACTGCACCATTTTTTTCTTTGTTTTGCTATAAAAATCGATCAAATACAAGGAAACCACAAAAAAAGCGAACTTCGTCCGAATTAATTTCAAACGCGATATTAAATTATAAGGACTAGTTAAACTTAAATTCTGTCTAGAGATTCGATTGCTTCGCCATTTGCAGCTATTTTACACTTTTTTTGTGGATGATTGTAAATGGTCTGCAGAGGTATATGAAGCAATTCCACGATTTCTATAAAATTAGGCTCTGCAACAGAAAGAGATGAACAATTTTGGTTACTTGATGCTATAATTGACTACCTTTGTAAAATATGCTCACCGTTTTCCGCTGTGATATATCCGTGTCTAATTAAAAAGTCAAGAGCGACTGGCACCGACGTTGTTTTAAAGTGCGAAGACAGTATCCTTTCTAAACATTCGTTAACTGGAAGCAATTCAAAAGTCTCTACCTCTCCGTCGTTGTTGCTCGGAACGAAATCTGGTGGTAGTTCAAGGTCATATACAAATTCTGTGTTCGGAAACAGACCCCTTTCACTTTCGAAAAACAGAGACACACAGCCGGCGCTCTTCAATTTTGCAATAAGATTATTGGGAATACTGGCTTCTTCTCCAGCCTCTTTTATAGCGGTTTCATTGATTCCATAACCAACACTCAATCCACCACTCACCATGTTATCCCAGTAGCCAGGCCAAGTTTGCTTGTTTGGACTACGTTTTTGCAACCATATTGATAAACCTTTCACAGGATCCATAACATATCCGTTGATATCTACTCCGTATTTACGAATTCCAAACAAGCCTATAAAATGAAATAATAGCTTTACAGTTGGACAGATGAATATAGATGATCATAAAGTACATACATGTGGCAGACCGGTCCATTTTAAATAGTGGTGGGGTATTGAATTGTGCGCGTACTTCATAACACTCTTCTCTCCATCCTCTTAATGTTATGAACTTTCCACCTGCACGCCATTCTCTCAAAACTTCCTCGACTCTAGCACTTCTCTCTGCATAATCTCTGAATGCTGGATTTAATTGCACGTACTCAGGATGTACTTGAAATACCTTTGAGAAATATTTTAAACAAGCATAATTAAGATTATGAAAACGGATTAATAGACGTGTCATCTGTTACAATTTCATGTCTGGAATTACCTGTGGATAGTTTAATAATTCTTTCATTACATCTGGACGCACAAGGCCAACTTGTTGTCCGTCAACAACAAAGGCTCTGCATTCACCTGCATGAAAACCTAAAAAATATTGGAGATTTAAGACTATTAGTCATCCAGTTAATGACATTGTACAATAAAATACAACTAAAATATAAAATATAAATAATATATAATAAACAGGAAGTTTTTGTTCATTAGTAAGGAAACTTAAGAAGCTGAAGAAATAGAGTGCTAAAAGATTCTCATAAATATTCATTAAGGTATATTCTATATTTGCACATCTGTGTTTAAATTGTACCAGAAAAAAGATGATAATATAGATCATTCATATAAATACATGATACACATCCTTGATATCTACTTTGGTAAATGTGTATATAGCAACAATAGTACTCAAAATATTTATTACCAAAAAAAATAGAAAGAATCACATATACATAATAGTAAAGAATGAATATCATGAAACGATCGTGAAAATCACCTACGTTTTTAGGAAAAGTAGACCCAATTCTTATTAATTCGCTGAAAATACGCGAAAGAATATACAACAGACTCGAAATCAATATCTCAGTAGACAGGACGGAAAGCCACGCGTTTCTATGCGCTAATCACTATAAAATCGTCGAGGGGACATACAGGCGAGATACGTTTAAATGGAACGATTTCGCTTACCTGACAGGTAGAAGCAGTTGAATCTGTTAGCGAGCTTCAGTAAGCGTGACATTGGTTTCTTATCACTATCCGTCATGATGTTTCGCTGTCGTTAGCCAGCTGTGACAAAAAAATGTTGGCATAGAGTATAATATAGTTAGAGATGAGTCTCGCGGGATTTCTGTGCATCGAAGGACGCAGTCTAGACTGAAATTGCCAATGCGATTGATCCCTACATGGCTTCACAGTTTCTTTTGTCACATTTTTTTCTTGGATTTAGAAATAAGATATCTGATATCAGTTCTTATATAACTGATAACACATCTTTTACTGTGACAGCAAACAATAATTAACAAAATATACGATTTGCAATTGGTTGAATTGGTTTAGAAATGATATGCAATTTCTTTTTATTGGATACTGAATTTTCCACTTGTTTTAAGGATACAATTTTATGTATGCAATTTGCATTATAGGTTTAAATAGAATCGTTTACAATAAAGCAATAAAAGTAATGTCAAAATAATTTTTATAGTACAAAAATTTTTTTGAATATTGTATAATTTTTAACAACTTTCACATATAAAGATGATTATGGGAGAAAAAGTTTTTGAAGATTATATTTTGATTCTATTTGGAAATAGTTTAGAAAATTTGATTCTTGTTCAAACATCATGCTTGAACCTAACCTGAACCTACTCTTATATTTCCAATAGATAGCGCTAAAGATGCTTAGAATGCATTGTTTACTGTGCCAATTTTGAGTTTCTGTGTCTTTTAAATTTAATATAAAAAATGAAAGTGAAAAAGGTTGTATTACATACCGAAGAAACACAAGCATCTTCTGAATCAGATTCAGAGTACAATTCATCAGATGAAGAAGTAAATATACTTAATACATTTCTTAATATTTATCACAAGTCTTTCTAACCTATATCTTTTCACGTGTATAGCTGCGAGAAGCTTATGCAAAAGGTTTGTTAAAACCAGGTCTGAATGTTGTAATTGAGAAAAACAAAAAAGAACACAAAAATTGTGTTGTAAGTATGAAGATAGTCTTGAATTAATTTAATTGATCAATTCCTAAATATATTTTATTTTTAAAAAAAGAGGAACTATTTTTTATGATTGAAATTATTTCTAGAATCTTATGAAAAACAAGCTAAAGAAATTTAAGCTGGATTTGCCATGGATCGAAAGGTTAGATATGGTTAATGCACTGGCACCTTTAGCACCAGAGTTGGCATTACAAATGCAGGACCAAGAAGTGAGACGCGCGAAACAGTTGCAGGGAAATAAGAAGTTACCTCAGTACAATCCGGCCGATGATCCTGTTCTGAACGACTTTCGCAGGGAAACAATGTTTCACAGACAAGCACAGGGTGCTGTTATGGATGCAATTGTGCGATTGAAGAAACTTGGCGTTTCAACAATTAGGCCTGACGATTATTTTGCTGAAATGGCGAAATCAGATACCCATATGCAAAAAATCAGAGAGAATTTAATGAAGCAGCAAACAATAGCGCAAAGATCAGAGAAAATTAGACAGCTGAGGCAACAGAGGAAAGTAGGAAAGCAAATGCAGATAGAGGCAACTTTGAAAAAGCATGCGGAGAAGCAAAAATTACTAGAGGAAGTTAAAAAGTATCGCAAGGGTGTGAGAAAAGACTTGGACTTTTTAGATGACAAAAAGAAACCACACAGTCAGACTGTAGATCATAAAGTAGCAGCCAAGCGTAAAATGAAGGATGCTAAGTATGGTTTTGGTGGAAAAAAACGTTATAGCAAGAAGAATACAAAGGCAAGTTCTGCAGATGTTGCAGAATACAGAAGACCTTTGAAGCCAGAGCAAAATTTGAAAAAGAAAGGAAGAAAATCTAACCAGAGAGTAGGGAAAAATCGTAGAATACAAATGAAAGCAAAGAAGAGGAGACAACAGTGATAAATTTAACGATGTAAACCTGTTTTATACGAAATAATCAATCCGACTCACTTATTTGTAAAATAATAGACGTATACGTATAATAAATGATCGGAGATATTCTTTGTTATTATTTCTTACTTTTTTTAATCGAGATATTCTTCGGATCTCGTTCGACAGACAACGATGAACAATTGCAAACTGATCTGGACAAAAGAATTTTTGTCGCATACGTAACTATGTTCAGACGCATCCAGCGTGAAAGCATTGAAACGTATGCAAAGAAGGGATTACGTAAAGACGTGTAAAGCGAGGAAATCTTTTTTCCCCTTTCAGAGATCTTTTTCAAGTTAGGTAGCACTGTTTCGTGTTCAATCAAATGCGAACAGTCCCGAAGCGTCATCGATACCGAGCTCGCGTTTTGTATGTGTAGAGACATTTCTATACGCGCTGGAAAAATATACAGAAACGCTCCGTCGACTATTGTGTCCCTTATCATTCGTACCTTTCGCGAATTCCTACATAGAAAGGAATTCTTTCTCACTGTGTACTCACGCAACTCTGAAATTTTCCTCTTTTGATTCTAATGGATTCCTTTGATCTAGTATTTTTTCAGTTATTGTTTTGTTGGCAATTAAATTCAATCGAACTATAGAAACTATTATTCCTTGTTATCAAGATTCGTTTTATAGACTCTAGACTGCCACGATGTTGTATCTCAAATACATCTTCTTTCAATACATCTTCTTTCTTTCGGGCGTTGTTAAAAATTTCACAACACTCTGAATAGAAAACTAACAATCCTTCGTGAGATAAATCATTTCAGAAATCTGTACTAAAAGATCGTTTCGTGTTAGATTAGATTAGCCCGGCAACACGAGGCAAACGTAACGTGCAATCGGCTTATCGAACAACTTAATTCTAAAAGTTTCGATTAAGTTTTATCACGCGCGAGTACGAAACAAAAAATAACTTGAACAAAACAGACGAATGGTAGATAAAAGTACAGCAGGAGTGGTCGCATGATGGATCACTTAATCTACAAAGTGACTCTCCAATATTTGTTGCTCGCCCCCTCCTTCCCTCGTCTCTCCCTCTTCCGTTCAATACGTTAATGCCCCATTAAGTTATGAAAAATCGCGAAGGATGCGGGCGAATGATAACGGCGCGAAACACGTGGATCAGAGTAATCTCCCTATGGTATCGATACTGGTGGAATATATAACATGTGTCGTCCATTAGACAATCCACTGTATCTACAGGGTTTGTTACATGCATAGGAATGCGATTACATCGCATATTACATGCGCGGCCACGTTTGCACTCGCGTACAGATACGTGTGTACACATCAAACTCCCCTCTTTCCTTCGGCAATTGTGCTTCGATTCCCCCTGCGCACAGAGCTAATGATGATTTAAACTAATCTTCCATTCGCGCGTGTAACATTTAAAATTCAGAGACTCGTACTAATAATATTAGATATTAGATAATATCGTAACACATTGTAAACGAATATTAATTACGGTGATCACCAGGTGAATAAACGTGGTATCTTTAAATTTATCTATTTTTTTTTTTTTTTTTGTATTAAGTTCAAATATCTTTCTTCTTTTAAAGAGAAGTTTATCGAAGAAATTTATAACTTTGCAAAATTTGACACTTTTTATTGGTTGAATAGCGAGAATTGTTTTTGAGAGAAAGAATATCTTTAGAAAACAATATCGATCGAAGGTACAAAGTTCAAATGTGTTTTCGGAGATTCTTGACGTTTTTATTATTGGATCACTAAAATTTCATCACGCTTTCAGAAATATATATTTCCCTAGTACATCGTTTTCTATTTTAGCTTTTCGTACTATGTTGTATTCTTCTAGAACGTGAACCAATTCGACATCTTCTAATTTTGCTTTCATTTATAATACATCGCATTCGTCAAGGGAATACGAACGAACCTGTCACGTGAAACCATAATATCTCGTAATTTTGCTAGAACTCTTGCAAAGTCTTCCCAAAGGAAGACAAGGATAGAAAATTGATTTGAAAGATCGATCGATTAACGTGATACACGGACACATGCGCGATCATCGACGCGATGGATCCTCGAGGATCGGGTGCAATGGCCAGTGGAACATGGGATAACACGCGTGATTGGGTTCCGAGTGTATACTTGTTATTTGGCGAGTGGAAATACCAGCGATCGAGCCGCATGCATAAGGTTCGGCCATTGGTGTGCAGTCGCGTGCACGTGGCCGTGTATATTTTTTACAATAGCCCCGGGTTATTGTATTTAAATCCAGGAGCACTCTCGCGCTGTGTCCTCGGCTTCTCTGTCCGGCGCAGACACGAGAGCCCTGGGAATCCGCTCTCGAGGTAACAGCTGTTTTAGAGGGAGATATCCCGCGTTTTATCTCCCCCACCCACGCAGTCCTAACAATTACTCAAGTGGTAGTACTGTTTCATAGATTCGTTCTTCCATGATTTCGTTCTTAACACTTTGATAGATTCGAGTGCCTTCGTGGTCACAGTATGTTACCGATTCACTCTACTGCGAGATATGCAAACGAGGTTATTCGATCATTTTTTAATCGTCAAGTGAAAATCGTTTGGAGAAACCATAAAGCAAGTAAATTCGTAGTAATTTTCGTACGTATAGTTTTTTATTTAACTGCTGGTTATAAAACTGCACGAACATCCGCAGTGTAGTTATAATATTTGATGAAACAATGTTTGAAACTATACTTTTAAAGATATAGGATTACAGTCTATTCAGATTTCGTGTACGCAACAAATTCTGCCAAGATATTTATTAAAATATTTTCACCTAGATTAGAACCACCAAATGGAAGATATAAGTTAGAAAAGAGAAGAAACGAAATTAGGAAGCACCGAGGCTTTCGGTTAGCATGGGAGATGTTTCGCGGGACACAGTCACCGTGTACGAATTTTATCGAACAAATTCGAGAGGTTTTTTTCCGTGTATGAGATCGTGCATGCAATTCTGCGAACGAGGGGCGGGGGGGAAGGGTATCTCGCACAGATATTTGTATTGATGACAACCACCGCGTGACATGTATCCTCCGTCGGCTGCTAATGGGTGAAATTTGTTTCGCCATTGCCTTCCAGCGATTTTGCTCGATTTCAAATTTCACCGAATTTGTGCTCGCTCCCTCTCTCTCGCGCGCTCTCGTTCTGTTTCGCTCGTCATGTCGAACTACCACGGCGTTTCCGTGTTCATGGAAACCTGACAGGACAACGATAAAATATCCATCTCAATTATTTAGACCTTCGCTTAGCGTGCAGTAGGAAAACACGGTTGGTTTTAATCGATGGAACGGTTGATAAATTGGTGCATGCTTTTTTGGCAATGTTGTTTCGCTAGCAAGTAATTGGAACAAGGTGGTCGGTTTAATTATCGGGGATCCGCGATGAAGTATCCTTGATCGTTAATCGGAAGCTTGAAACAACGAATGGAAGGGAATTTTGGGGGATTTCGAAATTTTCTCCAATTTTCTGATTTTAATTTCTACCCTTTTGCCAAAGTTTCTTCAAACGTTATTGAAATAATTTTCACACGTCTTCCACGACTTTTCACCTGATTGAAATTCATCCGATGCCCAACGATCGTCGCTAAATGCCCGTCTAGACGTTCGATTTATCCTCTCAAGAAATTATTCTCTCAGCCGAATGACGCGCATGCACGATAAAGTTTTTCACGATCGTAAAATCATATACATATGCATGTTCACGCGAACGCGAGAAGTAGAAGACGAGTGTCGATAAAGTCAGAAACGGGGCATATAACGAGATCGAAACCCCGTGGATTTTAGCATGAAAATAGTAGGACGCTCGATGTATTCGGTGTGTTGAAGGATATAAAACATTTTTCAGATATCTCCGTTCTCGACGTGATAGACTTTATCCGACTGGTAACGAAAACCATTTCGAAAATGGATTCGAGCCTTTTAGGGTGGAAATGAACAAAAAGAGAGAGAGAGAAAAAAAAAAGATGGATTCGCAGCGATACATTATTAAACAGAGATTTTTATCCACACTTCAACATCCGCACCACTCTTCCCCCCCCCCCCTCCCGGATTCTTTTTCGTTTTATCTCGTGCACAGTTATGAAACGTATAGCCGCGCGCTTGAAACGTTTGAAATGGAAGTTGTTTACGAGGGTTGCTTTGCAATCCGACCAGGAACTTGTCAGTGTCCTGGGCTGTAACGTTGATTAAAAGTTTAGATTATACGGAGTTACTTCGTTTCTTGAATTTTCAATTTCGTTTCGGATGTCGTTAACAATTGTTTAAAACGCTCTCGGTTCCGAGAGATAAGCTGAAAGTTCCCAGTTCCTGTCGCGCAGATAGGAGAAGATTTTCGCGGTTTCAAAGGAAGGAGGAGGCTGTTAAACCGTTAATATCGAGAGGGGGATCTTTATCTTTGAGTTTTTATAAAAATTATGACGGCAGTTCGGCTCTGACGGACTTTACTCTGATTCCTTTCAAACAATTCCATTTGAATTTTCACACGCTACGTATAGAATTCTCCGCAAAATATCGGACCCCTCTCGGGATCAACATTTAGATTTTCGTCGAACTTAGAGAAAGCGGAGGAATGAAATTCCCATACAGAGGAAACGCTCGTGGAGTAAGAATCGAAAGCTTCTGAAGGATCATTGCAAATTTAATCCGATTTAGATGCAACCGACAGCTTAGTTCGAGCAGTTTGGTCAACTGGTTTGCACACATGGATCAAATAACTCGGTCGAGTAGTGATTTAGTTAAGTTCGGGCTGCCGTATACACTGGGATATTTCACTTCTGCCAGGAACGTGTACATGCACGGAGTCGAAATTCGATGGATACTACGTCTTAACTCGACGAAATATTTCATTAGAATTCTAACGCAATTCCCTGTAAATTCTTAGCCTGAGATTTCTCAATTTTAAGAAAAACAGACAGATTTCAAATAAAAATTACTCGGCTAATACACGCACGATCGAACGCGCGGACGTTTTGAAAATTGTCCGCCGTCAAGTTTCTTCGGGTGAAGAACCAAGAAACTCGGCGATCGTCCACTAGCCATTCTTTCCCATCTTTTCCGCCAACCTACGTAGCCCAACGGTGCAAACGC